TTTAAACTTTTGCATGGTAGAATCAGAAGCTGCTATTCTTATTAGTGACAATAACAGTAACAGCTTTTTTGACAAGTTTAAAGTTTCTTTAAAATAGCTACATTCAAAATGTTTTAAAATAAACTACAAAAATTAATTTGATAAAGTGCAAGTTAAATTATACCTGTATCTTCAAATATATTTGATAATGTTTTTAACTTTTAAAAAATTGCATGGTAAAACCAGAAGCTGCACTTCGTATTCGTGATAAACTTTGGCCTTTTTTTTGATGGGTTGCCTTCATTTTTACCTTCTACTTTGCATTTAAAATAAGTTTCCATTCTCGGCAGGTTGCTAAGGTTCTTCTTCTACATATTAAAAAAGTTGTCAAACATCTGAGTGGTGCACTACCGCTACTAGTGGTGAGAAAGTGTATTGCAACTTCTTTTAAATCAATGACGGCCCTCTGCGGCCCAAAGGTAAAAACTGTTGTTCTTTTGAGGCCCTCAAGGTGGCGCTCACGGCCCACAATTGGGCCGTGGCCCATAGGTTAAGAATCTCTGCTCTAGGGGGTAGGTTTAGGACTAAGAAGTGAATTGAGATGAGATCAGGTTTAGGGTAAGGGTCAGGCTACAGAAATAATTTCAGTCAGTGAACGGGCCTAATAAGTATAGAAATAAGGCAGGTCAGCTAAAACAGTGGRGAGGCTTTGGTGTGCATGAGAATGTGAGTGTGGTGTGTTACAAGGTAGAAAAGCCTGGATAAGAGAGGTTGTGGGTCCAAACGTGACTTCCGTAGTCACGGCATACATAAAGCATAAATCATCATGTTCTATAACAGCAACAGATGACGTTATGTAAATCAGCTCACCAGTAACACTACAGGAAGTTTTCATTGCTGATTTCTACTTGCAGGTAAGTCTGTTTTTATGCATGTACAGATAATCCTGCTGAACCAAAATTGAATGGTGGGAAACACGGCTCTTTGAAGTGAGACAGATCTTTTATCACATTATAGGTGCGGCCATTCAAAAGATGTTAATTAAATGTTCAATTTTGGTTCAAAAGGTTGGTTTTTGGTTAAGGTTGAAAATTGATGGTGGATCAACCATCAAACAATCATCCAGTTCTAGCCAAGTAACCAATGTTGAAAATATGTCATTGAATCAATGTTGTTTTACAATTTTTAGTTTATCAACTTAAAAGGTTTGAGACAACATGTTGCCTCAAAAGTTTGGAGTTCTGATAACGTGTTCAGGTTTACAAAGTGGCTTTAGAAAAGTTGAATATTTTAATGTAAAATGGACAGGGAATCAATATTGATTCCTATACATTAATTCAATATGAAATCAACACAATATACCTGTAGGTTAGTTGGTTGAAACACCATTGATCTGGTATCAGTTATGATGAAAAACCTATCGTTGGTTTAACATTCAAGTCACCAACCACTTTTTGCATAATTTAGATGTCAGGATTCAACATGGACTCAATATTTCGGCCTAACCAAATTACAATGTTGATTCACCCATATTTTGCTATCTGGGGTTTGATCGTTTGTACCCACATAGCAAAATTTCCCTGGCCTAGTTCTGGCCCACACAATGTAGTAAACACTAACATTCGGCCCAGATACTGTACCTCAAAGAATGACGGCCAATTGGTGACCCAGATGTGGTTTGCCAGAGATGGTCCGTGCATGTGCCAGCACTACATGAACCAAACCACATCTGGGCCAGTAACGGAATTGATACGTTTGGGCCAGACAAACCAAACCACAACTGAACCAGACATGGCAATAACAGATTTGGGGCACATAAACCAAACCACAGCTGGGTCATTTATGGCATTAGTTTTGGGCCACAAAAAAACAAAACACAACTGGACCAGACCACGTCGAAAACAGTGCAATCATTGCCATACCTGGCCCATAACCAGTTGACAAACCACTTGTCATGCCAGCTGTCAAACAACAGTGTCAGCTTGACACGATCTGGCCCACACCTGCCCACTATGTGGGTTCCTACATAACAAATTTTGTCTGGTCCACGTAATGATTGTTTGCAAACCTCATGTCTGTTCTCTTCAGATTGTGAAGAACTCTTTTCTCTTCAATCCAACACAAATAGAATAGATTTTTTCTTTTTAATTTACATCACTTTATAGTTTTGTGAATATACCAGAGTGAGACTAAATCATTTTGTTGTTTAATCTCCGGTTGCATAAATCAGTTTTAAGCATTCTTGGTCTTAAGGGGGAAACATGAAAACTGTAGGGCCATCCATTGCAGTTTTTTTTCTCTTTTCCCTTTGCTTGTTGTTGAAATGAAAAMCTGACGTGCCACTGGGGACTCAGCCTGCCAGGTGGCAAGAAGTGGTTGTATTAACGTAAAGAAGTGGTTGACACTCTGATTCCTGGAGAGGATTGAGTGTGACGAGGAGATGATAAAGAGTCTGAGATAGCTTCAGTTTAGGGACTTACCAGCACAGACCACTCACTCAGGCTGGGGTTTCCTCTACTAATAATAACAAGAGGAAATGGTATTTTAAAAGGGAAAAAAACACGTATGCATTTAAGCTGTGTAACATTAGCAGAGGATGAGTCAAAGATCGAAAACATTTATTGCTTTAATGTYTTGAAATGTATTACAGCCATTTTAAATCATTTGAAAATAACATTTGTGATTTAGTATCAGCTTGTGTCATCATGAAAGGCAGGTGAAAGTGCATGTGTTTGTTATTAGTAACATACTGTATCTCATTAACCATTGGACAGATTTTCTTAAGACTCTAATGTCCAATTGATTCAAGATGGCTGCCACTGGTAATCAATGTTACCAAACATAAAAATGCTTGTAATTCAGTTTGTTTTAAAGAGGCTTGCTAGCTGTAGCGCTTCCAAAGAATTGCTTAAATCAATGAGAAATATTCATGCAATGTAAACCTACAGGCTGTGCAGAGGTTTATAAAACATTCTATATTATCATTCTATATTTTATTATCATTATATATTATATAAAATGTCAGACTTTTTCCTTAAAATCTATTTGTCTAGTTATGCTTGCCTTAAATAATCAATGCACATTGACATAATGGGGGAGATTTACTCCAACTTTGAGTGATTTAGCAGAAAGTGCTGCAAATGATTCAAGCCACAGAAACCTGAGAAGATGTATTTGACAGGCTGAGTCGTAAAATAGATGTGTGTTGTTTTTGTTGCAGGTGCGGCTGATTGTCGAGCTGCTGTGGCCTCTGTTTCTCTTCTTTATACTGGTGTTGGTGAGGTCAACCAACAAGCCCATTTACAAAAGTCAATGTAAGTACAAGCAGGGTTTAATGCTGAGTTTTTTGTGCCAAATTTAGCAAAATATGTAACATAAAATAATTCAACACTTAGCTGAATTTAATCATGAATCCCAGAACTGTTCATTTGTCAAAATGTTGCATAGAATGCACTGAGATCACTTCACCTCCTTTAAAAAATATCTTTTAAATCTGCTTCTGCTTACTGACTCTATAGTCGTCTTCTTATGCCATTTTCGTTTAAGCTTTTATCTTGCTTTTCCCTACTTTTAGCTTTGTTTACTTTTGGCTGCTTTTCTCTTACATGCTCTTACTTTGAGCTTCTAGCTTAATTTTTGCTACTTTTAGCTAGCCTTTTGCTGAGTTAGCATTCTGCTACTTTAATCTATATGCTATCATGTTGCTACCTTTTAGCATTGAACTAGCCTTTCCGTGCGTTAGCTTCCAGCTTGGTTTTTGCTGCTTTCTGCTAGCATGCTGCTATTTTTTTCTTCTAGCTACCATTTTGCTACCTTAGCTTTTAACTAGCCTTTATCTAATTTTAGCTTTCAGCTTTCTTTTTACTGTTTTCCACTAGCATGCTCATTATTTTAAGCTTCTAGCTGCACGTTTGCTACATTCAGCTAGCCTTTTGCTGAGTTTAGGTGGCATTCTGCTACTTTTATCTTGTAGCTATCATTTTGCTACTGTTCAGCTTTTAGCTAGGCTGTACCTAACTTAGCATTAGCATGCTCTTATAAGCAACTAGCTATAATTTTGCTACATTTAGCATTTGCTTCAATGTGCTTTAGATCGTTTTTTTCCTTTTCTTTTGCTACTTTTAGCTTGTCTTTTGCTTTTATAACTTTTGGCCAGTGTTCTTCCTTTTAGTTTTAACAACTTGGTTTTTAACTTTTTAAGCATGTTTCAGCTAAATTTGCGCATTGGTTTAGTTTCTGTTGTTTCCCCRTCTTCAAAGTTCAAAGGTGGGAGGAGAGTAAACAGCTGTTCTCTCCTTTAGGTCACTACCCAAACAAAGCCATGCCATCAGCGGGGGTGCTGCCCTGGCTTCAAGGTTTGATGTGTAACATCGAAAATCCCTGTTTGAACTATCCAACGCCGGGGGAGACACCAGGCCAAGTCAATAACTTCAACAACTCCATGTACGCACTGAGCTGTTCTCTTTTCTGCTGTACACAGACATGAAACTTTCTGATTATAGTTATACCAACTGTATTTGATCTCCTCTGTCTTTCAAACATTGCAGAATCGCGGGGATCTTGATCGAACTACAGACCAGTTTGGTAAACAAGTCAGTTCTGAGTAACGCCCGGCTGCTGATGAACGATGTAAACCAGTGGTCTTCTGTCCTGTCCCTGTCCAACCCTGGCAGTGGTAAGGGTGGTAAAATCATTGCCCACCACCATAAAAGAATGAGGGTTCATGTAATGTCTGTGTGTTTGCTTGTCTGTGATGGAGCAACATTTCTCATGAACCACTGGATGGATTAGAGCTAAATTTCTGGAAAGTAACCATTGGTTGTACATCTTTAGCTGTGTCCAAATTCCAGGTCTGTGTGGCTCGCGGGACCCAGACTACTCGGTCTAGGTGAGCCAGGTCCTTTGTGGACCATGAAGACCAGAAGAAAGTGGCTATGAATTTGGACTTAGCATTCAACTTTATTCCCGCCCTTACCTCGGCACGTGTCCTATCGCCTACCAATGCTAAAAGGAAGAAAAATTAGCGAAATTAGCGAAATATTATGTATAATAATATTATACGGTGGCTCATTTGGTAGAGCTGATGCCTCTCAGCAAGAAGGTCACTGGTTCAAATCCTGGTCTGGGGACCTTTCTGGGTAGAGTTTGCATGTTCTCTCCGTGCATGCGTGGGTTCTCTCCGGGTACTCCGGCTTCCTCCCACAGACCAAAAACATGACTGTTAGGTTAATTGGTAACTCTAAATTGTCCCTAGGTGTGAGTGAGAGAGTGAATGGTTGTTTGTCTCGTTTGTCTTTATGTGTGGCCCTGTGATGGACTCGTGACCTGTCCAGGGTGTACCCCGCCCCTCGCACTGTGACTGCTGGATATGGGCACCAGTGACCCACGCYACCCTGAAAAGGAAGAAGCGTGTACAGAAAATGGATAGATGGATGGAATATTATTATTATTAATAAATTAACCAAATTGTCTCAGATGCAATACATGAAGAACTAAGGGACCCACTGTACCACTGGTACAGTGGGTACAGTACTGGATGACCCACTGTCATCGTTTACTATGATTTCTGACAAGAATAATAATATTAAAAAACGTGTCTATGCAAATGACAAAATCTTAAAAACGCAACTGCTTTAAACTTTAAATATTTGTACCACCCAAACTGTACATCTGTCTCTCACTTCATCTGCCATTACAAGCAATAATAAAAAGGGTGGGCTGTAATGGATACACCAAAACAGTCCCTAAAATTGGAGGAAAACCAGGGTGAGTTTTTGGGTCGCAATTGGACCAGCCTTTGAATTTGGACAGCATTCGACACATCGCTGAGATGTAATTTGCCATTGAGGTACGCAGCCTGTGAATTTGGACACAGCTTAACGATTATTTTTTTAAAAGGTACTAATTCATGTCATACCCCCAAAATGGCTATAGCTCAGTCATTTTTACAGCTACTGAGCTAAAATGGGGTGTGATGGTAGCTGAGGATCATCCCCAACATGAAGTCTGAACGATTGCAGATCTTGCAAGGTATTTGTTTCAAACATTGGTATTAAAGGCAGTAATAGGTGTTCCTCCCAGGAAAACTAGTTTTTAGTTTCTTTATGCATTTACATATCTTCTAATCTCTTTTTCACTCTTTCTCAATGCATTTCACTTTTTTCTTTTTCTCTCTTCTTTTTTTCAAAAAAAAAAAAAACATAATAATGGGGTGGAAAGGATGGCTAAAGGGGGAGAAGGGAGGCCATCAAAAAAAAAAAAAAAAGTTTCTTTATGCAACAAAAGCAATACAAAACCAAATTTCTAAATGGCGTTGAAATTAATGGTGAAATTTACACTGCAGCTGAAATCACTGCCAATGCCTTTGTCAAGTGCTCTTGATCAGGGGAAGTGTCCCGCTTCGCGTGGATGACAAGCCGGAGGATTTGTTATTCCCCTTCATTCCTCAAAAACAGTGGCGTGTGATTATTTATGATGCAATTTGCTGTGCAGACTGACAGATCGTTTGTCTTGATAAGTTGCTACTTTGCATTAGGCTCATTTAGTCTGATGATATTCAGATTTTCACACAGCACCTAATTTGCAAAAAGGCAACCGGGGGGAGGAGGAGGGTGGGAGGGAGCGGGGAGTGGCTGTTCAACAAGCAGCTTCTGGGCCCATTTGCATTTCTGGGGGTCGCTGGTTTGTAATATACAAGATTAAATCCATCAAAGATCCACGCCCGGACGTAATTAATGGAGACTTGCTGCTGTCTGAGGCGAGAGCACAAAAGATCATCAAGGGGGGTGCTAGCAAAAGATGGCAAAGGTGATTGTGTTGTCCTTCCTTTTTTTCTTGGTGTTTTGATTAAAAAGACTCAGGTGGTCACTCCACTGTGAGAGTGCGGAGCATGATCTGTTTCCCCTCGGCGTAGACGATGACGAGCACAATAATGAGTCGTCAGTAGGAAACAGGAGTCGTTTGATCGAGTTAGAGCAGCGTTTTCCAATCAATTCCGGTTGTTTTCACCAGAACGTGCCAAGAGAGAACCTTTAAAAGCTCACCGTACACATAATCGGCTGAGTTTCACCACATTACCGATGCAAAAGGGATGATTTAAATATTTTACTTTTGCTCTTAGCTACATTTCACATTAGCTCTGGTAGGGGTGGGAGAGCAGCGGTCTCTGCCATGGTGCACTATTATTTTTAACACCCACCGAAATAAAGTCAAAGGCCAACATGTTAATCTGTTTACAACCCAAATATTTCATAAATCGCATCACAGGATAAATCGACAATCAAGTAAATTTTGCAGTTGGCTTGATTCAAGATGGCCACCACGTCACCTGATCTAAAGTGCCTGTGATGTGCATTTACCTCATTTAAAAACATCAAAGAAACATCTTTATATTTAGGACACTTGGCATAATACACACGATTTTACCCATTTTGTCATACAACTGGCATATTTTCTTTTGAAGTTGGTTCAGTCAAAGTGAAACAGGAAGTGGGATCAAAGGGGAACTCTCTGGTTTTTGGTTAATGAAGCAACGTTCTTTGAACGAACCCTCAACAAACACATAAATGTGTATAACAGTCAGTTTCACAGGCATTGAGACAAGATTTGGTGTGATAGAAGCTGCCAAACACAGTCCAACCACTTGTGTTTAGGATTTCCACATGAGTAACGTTTCTTTTCTTTTTTACCAGTCACCATGAGGAGCGTTCTGACGGACAACCAAACTTTCACCACGTATCTGACTCGGAATTTATCAGTTTCACCAACCGTTGTCCAAAGCCTCATGAATGCTCAGCTTCAGCTCACTCCAGTAAGTACAATACTTTCTCAACATATCAAAAAAAAGGTATTTTTCATCTTCTGCCGTGAGTACAAGAATTTAAATACAGTATTATCAATTTGTTCAAAATGTGTTAGGAGTGCTGTGCTCGAACACTTCGGGCTGAAACATCCCGGCCCAGGGCAGCCGCTGGGACTCCTTGTCTCTGTATTCATATTCCAGGCACTCTTTSGTATTTGCTTGACAAAAATGTAATTTGAAACAGCTCACAGAAGGTAATTTTGTATGAAAGGGGTGTCAGTTGAAGTAACAAGTGCTTTTTTGTTACATGTCTTTCAGTTGTTTGTTTCCAGATTAAAAACAAAAAGGGGATTATATTTAGACTTTATTTAATTGTATTTTAGTTACAAGATTCCTGTTGTGTTTGAAACAGAAACAATCTAATAGTGGAATAAACAATAGAAAGGAGGGCTAAACCACACGGGACATTTTGTAACATCTGGTGAACAAGACTTTTATTTTTTACTAACTTTAAACATGTTCAGTTCACATTCATCTGGTGGGCTCTGCTAATACGCTAATCATGGAACTAGCTTCTCATTTAGCGGATTCATTTTATTTATTTATGTTTTATATTTTGTTTATTTTGCTTAAATGTTAGCAGGCCAGTTAGCTTTGGCTAAATTAGGTTCTGCTAACTTTAAATCCACTAAAAATTACAAGTGTAAAACTTCCTTTCTTTTATGCCATTTATTACAAATTAATAAAAACAATCCCCTCTTAAAAGCAACACTGGGTGTGTCAGGCACRGTGTGTGTAGCATGTAGCATCTTTAGCAGCTAAACTTGAAACTGAGTGTTAAAAAGAAATAAACAATTAACAATATTTGAATAAAGAATAAAAAAAACTGACTATGTATTAACGCAGTAGAGAACATATTTGCTATTTTTTTGACTAACATCTAACAATATTTACAAACTCGATGAAAGAAATGCTTTTATTCTGAAAGAGGTCACATTGGATGTATCACAAGTTAGACAGAGCTATAACTGGTTTGGATTGGCCGAATTGCCACAGATGGTACCACCCACCTTCAAATTAGACCAATAGAAAATTAACAACAGGTTTGTGTCAGTCCAGACGTCTTAGTGGTTAGTGTTAGCTTTCTCTAATTTTTTATATTTTTAGCGGATTAGCTTTAGCACAGCTAAGTTTCTTGTTTAGCAGTTTAATGGTGAATGAACTTAATGTTTTGGTTAGCTTGGTTAGCTGTGCTCACCACTACATTCATAAATACAGTTCTGTTTAGAYACCAAAAAATATGCCTTTGTGTTGAGACCTTTAGCTACTTAACAACTTCCAAAGCTGTGGAAGTCCATTTCTACTACAGATGAAAAAAAATTGTCATCAAAATTACAATAAAAAGTCATAATCTTAAAATCTCAGATTTAAGACTTATTGCATAAAGTTGACTGGGATTTTACATTATATTGAACTGAGGATTAGGTCACAAAGTGTGGGGAAATAGGCTGCTAAAGTGTACTAGTTAAAACATTTGCAACTATTGCATTTTGAAAAGTTTTTAGCGAATAAATACCTTATCTACGGTTTTACGTGATGGATTAGGGTTTTTATTTTCATGAAAATACAAGCTCATATTTAAGAGACACTGATGTGTGATATTGAGATCTTACCTTAAAATGATGAGATTTCCATCATATTTATGAAAAAATGACAGTATCTCAAAAGACTATCATGATTATGAGATAGCAAATTAATAATTATGAGCTGCTGAGTTATGAGATGTATGATACTGAGTCATAATTATCAGATGCTACTTTTTAATTGTGAACTTACACATATTCCTAAAATATCAGTGCATAGCTATGACAACATCTCATAACTATGCAACTGCTGAGTCATTAGGATGAGATGCATCATTATGATGCTATCTCATAATTATGGTCTAATTTGAAATGACTAAGAAATAAATATGATCATAAGTATGAGACAGTTAGGTTTTATTTATGAGGTTCTAGGTCATAATTATGACARGGAGAATATTTTTTATGATAATTACAGTGGCGTAAATGGGCTTCCATAAACAGCCTGCGTCGTTAACAAGGCATCCTCTCTTTTCTTTCCGTAACTGCCTGGTTTGATAAATGATCCGTGTTCATCCATAGATGTGTGTTATTGTCTGGTTCCATATACTCTTTTATCACCCATCTCTTCTTTTCTCTGCATTCTGTTGCTGCTGCATATTCTTTTTGTTCCATAAGRGGCCATTCTATCAATTTAGAGGCTGATTGTTCAAGTAGTAAAGTAGTTTTTTTATTTTTAAATTTTTTTTATTTTTTAGCAGTGATTCAGTCTCCACCGCTTCTCTTTTTTTTTTTGTTATGTAAGACTTTGAACCCCCAAGTTGCTCCCTAAATGGTTTTCCAGTATCTGATTAAAGAAAGAAGCCATGCACATCCAAAACACAAATGAAAAGTTGAAAGTAGTTGGAAGAAGGCAGATGGTAAAAAGTACCACGTGGAGCTGACATTTTACAAACTGGTAATTGTTCATAATATGACCCTGATTTTTAAAAAAACCTGGGAAGTTGTGTAAAATGTTAACAAAAACACTCAAAGCAAAAACTTGTATTGTCCCAGGTATCAGGGCGTTTTGAATGAGGACMAATGCTTGTAAAAATGCTCTTATCRGCACACCARTAAAATGAACACAATTGTTTARATCCTCGTTTTGAAGTACGAAATGTAATTAGCTTTATTGTCACTGAAACTCCTGARCTATTACAAAGAAACGGGTGGAATACAAAGTTCTTGTTTGTCAACTTTAGCTAGCATTATTATTTTATTTTTCCAGATGATGGGCATCCCGAGGCCAGACAACATGAGGAGCATCCTGTGTGAGGGGACAAACCTGGACAAGTATGTCCAATTTAGCAGCCAAACGGAGAGGGAGGCTTTTCAGAACGTCAGCTGCTCCCTCACTCAACAGCAGCTGATTAACGCCCAGCAAGTCTTCCTGCAGAACCTGGATGGGAGGAAAGTGTTTTCTGGGGTAAGCCTTTTCTGCTGCCATCTGCACCTAAACCATCAGGTCCCACAACGCTCCTCATTAGGGTCCGATACAACTCAAAGTAACTTTGCATCAGAAGTTTGAAGCTACTTTATTTTCATTTTTTTGCAAGATCTTGCAAAGTGTGTCCATACTGATTAGCTTGATAGAACATAGATCACTTGCATGCAAGAATATCTCACCTGCTGTAGATAGCTTTATAAACAAACTTTTTGTTTTCTCAGTCAAAATACACAAAAGAAATCGTATCTTATCTGCCCAAATTAGTGGGCTAATGTCTAGTTCGAGTCAGTCCCAGACAAGTACTTGTTCTCATTTAAAATGTCCTGATACCAGAACTGATACCGTTTAATGTGTTACACATTACATTTAAAGTGAAACGTTTGTTTGTTACATGTTTAAGAAATACGTACAAGTTGAAAGAAAGCTTTATTTTTATTTACTTTAAAATGTTACAGCTGTATATATTACACTGTATATTAGATTTAATCCAGTCAGAGGGGCTGCAGGTCTATAAGGGAGAAAAAACACCTCGCCAAATTTTTGCCGATTGCTTTTAAAGTTATTGTGTAAAATTRTAGTTCTAACTCAAGTACTCTGTATTGTTACTTGGTATCAGGGAGTACCCAAACTGAAATACTCATACTCGGTTAAAAAAAAACTGGTATCAGAACACCCCTTTTTATTTCACTTTATTTGAAGGTTTAACATACAAGACTGATCCTGTATTAGTTTCAACATCAGAGTTATTATAGTTAACTAAAACTAACTAAATAACAAAAACAGAAATTGAAAAAAACATTTTAGTTAACCAAAATAAATAAAAACTGTAAAAAAGTGAAAAAAAAACAATAACTAACTAAAAC